AAAAAAATGAGAATTCCAGTATCAAGTTGGGAATGAAGCTGGTGGGTCAATTGAGGTCATAGAATGCTGATAGCGTGTATGCTCGTTTTTCTTTCAATTTGAAGTGTATATCGGATGGTACAAAATGCATTGAACTCTGGGATATCACATTTGCTGTGCGTCATGGACATGTATCCTAACATGTATAATTTATGTACCAAGTTTGAATGAAAACTGACAAAGCATGTCCAAAATACAACATTTTCAAAAAACAAGATGGCTGCCAGTCGGCCATTTTGAATCAAATCGCTTTATGTCCCACATAAAGTACTAGGCACATGCAAAGAATGAACAGAATCGGCCCAAAGGATTCTGAGATATGACTCCGGACAGACGCACGGACGCACAGACGCACAGATGGACGGAGACCGAATTATAAGTCCCCGTTTTCGGACTTCGTCCGAACGGGGACTAATTACAAAATTTATATATTGACTCGATATTAACAAATTAAAGCACTCAAGCTACTGATTATTCCATTGGAACGCGGCCATCCCCCTTTACCCGTCCCACGTAGCCAAAATTCGTGGTACTGAGGTTGGGGAAAGGAACTGAGGGATCCGGTCGGGCGGTAGATTTGACTCCGGTATCAGACATCACACTGATCGGGTAGCGCTAGGTCCAGCAGAAAGGGTTAGGCATGAGATTGCCCCACCCTGGGGACTTAGGCCTCTCTTCCACAGGCCTCCAAAACGACCGCGCATCAACACCGACTGTGCGTCCAACGACTGTGCGTCCCCCGCTACATACAGCACTCGGACAGACCAGGGGAGCCATGCAATCGGTGTTGCTTTGGATCCAGCCGACTGGATCCCAGGCGTGACTGCTTCAGGATCGAGGGTGGGGGTATGTACGATTTTTAACAAGAAGTCGAAAATATCACTTTTTACCAAAAAAGACAAAAATATTTATTAAAATTAGAGAATTAAAGATATCATCATGAAATGAACAAATCTAAGGGAGGTCTACCCAAGGTACATTCACTGATCCGTCAACCCGACATTTGATGGCACAGTTCAAGGAATTCAACTATTCCATCCTTTTCACTTTATCAAGGTATTTACACCAAGTATCAAAACATTCAGGCTTGTAGTTTTCAAGAAGTCGAAAAAGTTGACTTGAACAACGACGGACAATCACTTATATGATAAGCTCCGCTCGTCAAAGTTCACAGCGGAGCTAAAAAGTGAGTAAGGGCGTGTCGAGACACCTCTGATGGCCGGGTTGTTCCCCTCTGGGAACGTCTACAGGCTCTCGAAGGGGGAGTGACCCGTAACAAAGACAGGACTCAGGTGTACAAAACGAATGTCCTGCGCTGCTTTGTCCCCTCCGAAATCTACTCCTGACCACCAGCCCCCCTATCGACTGCCTGTTGACTAGGTCTTCGCGGAGACCCGGTACCACCAATCTGTGCCCCACCTGCTTCTGAAAATGATGGGGAGTTCGGGTTGGGATCGAGGAGATCCAGGGAGAAAGCATCCCTTGAACATTAATATCGCTTGCTGTGCTTCTTCCGGCTTACTGAGCAAGGGACAACTGCAGTGGAGGCAACTCGCTTCACCTGCAGTTAGTCTACCCAACCTGCAAGGGACGCAATCTGTACTGACAGGCCCTCAACCAAAGCCTGAATCTCGGAGGCAAACCCGGCACCCTGTGAGGGGGAATCCACAGAAAGACCTGCAACAGGCCCCATAAGAGAAACAAGCTCCAGGGGCACCGCCTTGCCGATCAGGGGGGGTCCTCGGGTCCACCGCTGTTGGGCCTCCCACTCCTTGACGCAGTACCTGAGGTACCGGTAGACAATTGGGAGGACTTCCCGTCCATGCTAGCAATCTACTACTCACGCCCACAAGGCCCCCGAACTGAACACGCGAACAGGGCTTCCCCTGACCTAGATTTCTCTCTCCGTTATTGGCTGAATCGCAGATTAATGCCTACAGTTCAAACTATTAACTATATCACTGCAGATATTACCTATATCACAGCAGAGATATTAACTATATCACTACAGATATTACCGATGTCACTACAGATATTACCTACATGTATATCATTGCAGACATTACCGATGTCACTACAGATATTACCTATATCACTGCAGGTATTACCTATGTCACTACAGATATTACCTATATCACTGCAGACATTACCTATGTCACTACAGACATTACCTATGTCACTACAGATATTACCTATGTCACTACAGATATTACCTATATCACTGCAGACATTACACCTATGTCACAGCAGAGATATTAACTATATCACTGCAGATATTACCTATGTCACTACAGATATTAACTATATCACTGCAGACATTACCTATGTCACTACAGATATTACCTATGTCACTACAGATATTACCTATGTCACTACAGATATTAACTATATCACTGCAGACATTACCTATGTCACTGCAGGTATTACCTATGTCACTACAGATATTACCTACATCACTGCAGACATTACCTATGTCACTACAGATATTACCTATATCACTGCAGACATTACCTATGTCACTACAGATATTACCTATGTCACTACAGATATTACCTATATCACTGCAGACATTACACCTATGTCACAGCAGAGATATTAACTATATCACTGCAGACATTACCTATGTCACTACAGATATTACCTATGTCACCACAGATGTTAACTATATCACTGCAGACATTACTTGTATCACTGCAGGTATTACATATGTCACTACAGATATTACCTATATCACTGCAGACATTACCTATGTCACTACAGATATTACCTATGTCACTACAGATATTACCTATATCACTACAGATATTACCTATGTCACTACAGATATTACCTATATCACAACAGAGATATTAACTATATCACTGCAGGTATTACCTATGTCACAGCAGACATTACATCTATATCACTGCAGACATTACCTATATCACTGCAGATATTACCTATATCACTACAGATATTACCTATATCACTGCAGACATTACACCTATGTCACAGCAGAGATATTAACTATATCACTGCAGACATTACCTATGTCACTACAGATATTACCTATATCACTACAGATTTTACCTATATCACTGCAGACATTACACCTATGTCACAGCAGAGATATTACCTATATCACTGCAGACATTACCTATGTCACTACAGATATTACCTATATCACTACAGATTTTACCTATATCACTGCAGACATTACACCTATGTCACAGCAGAGATATTAACTATATCACTGCAGACATTACCTATGTCACTACAGATTTTACCTATGTCACTACAGATATTACCTATGTCACTACAGATTTTACCTATGTCACTGCAGATATTACCTATATCACTGCAGACATTACCTATGTCACTACAGATATTACCTATATCACTGCAGACATTACACCTATGTCACAGCAGAGATATTAACTATATCACTGCAGACATTAACTATGTCACTACAGATATTACCTATGTCACTACAGATTTTACCTATGTCACTGCAGATATTACCTATATCACTGCAGACATTACCTATGTCACTACAGACATTACCTATGTCACTACAGATATTACCTATGTCACTACAGATATTACCTATGTCACTACAGATATTACCTATGTCACTACAGATATTACCTATGTCACTACAGATTTTACCTATGTCACTACAGATTTTACCTATGTCACTACAGATATTACCTATATCACTACAGATATGTATTACCTATATCACTGCAGACATTACCTATATCACAACAGAGATATTAACTATATCACTACAGATATTACCTATGTCACTACAGTTATTACCTATGTCACTACAGATATTACCTATATCACTGCAGACATTACCTACGTCACTACAGATATTACCTATATCACTACAGATATTACCTATGTCACTACAGATATTACCTATATCACTGCAGACATTACACCTATGTCACAGCAGAGATATTACCTATATCACTGCAGACATTACCTATGTCACTACAGATATTACCTATATCACTACAGATTTTACCTATATCACTGCAGACATTACACCTATGTCACAGCAGAGATATTAACTATATCACTGCAGACATTACCTATGTCACTACAGATTTTACCTATGTCACTACAGTTATTACCTATGTCACTACAGATTTTACCTATGTCACTGCAGACATTACCTATGTCACTACAGATATTACCTATATCACTGCAGACATTACACCTATGTCACAGCAGAGATATTAACTATATCACTGCAGACATTAACTATGTCACTACAGATATTACCTATGTCACTACAGATTTTACCTATGTCACTGCAGATATTACCTATATCACTGCAGACATTACCTATGTCACTACAGACATTACCTATGTCACTACAGATATTACCTATGTCACTACAGATATTACCTATGTCACTACAGATATTACCTATGTCACTACAGATTTTACCTATGTCACTACAGATATTACCTATATCACTACAGATATGTATTACCTATATCACTGCAGACATTACCTATGTCACTACAGATATTACCTATATCACTACAGATATTACCTATGTCACAGCAGAGATATTAACTATATCACTGCAGACATTACCTATGTCACTACAGATATTACCTATATCACTGCAGACATTACCTATGTCACTGCAGATATTACCTGTCGCTACAGATATTAACTATATCACTGCAGACATTACCTATGTCACTACAGATATTACCTATGTCACTGCAGATATTACCTGTCACTACAGATATTAACTATATTACTGCACACATTACCTATGTCACTACAGATATTACCTATGTCACTACAGATATTACCTATGTCACTACAGATATTACCTATGTCACTACAGATATTGCCTGTCACAGCAGAGATATATTACCTATATCACTGCAGACATTACACCTATGTCACAGCAGAGATATTAACTATGTCACTGCAGACATTACCTATGTCACTACAGATATTACCTATGTCAATACAGATATTGCCTATGTCACAGCAGAGATATTAACTATATCACAGCAGAGATATATTAACTATCTCACTACAGATATTACCTATGTCACTGCAGACATTACTTAAATCACTACAGATATTACCTATGTCACTACAGATATCACCTATATCACAGCAGAGATATAACTTATATCACTACAGATTTTACCTATGTCACAGCAGAGATATTAACTATATCACAGCAGATATTACCTATATCACTGCAGATATTACACCTATGTCACAGCAGATATTACCTATGTCACAGCAGAGATATTAACTATATCACAGCAGAGATATAACTTATATCACTACAGATTTTACCTATGTCACAGCAGAGATATTAACTATATCACAGCAGATATTACCTATATCACTGCAGATATTACACCTATGTCACAGCAGATATTACCTATGTCACAGCAGATATTACCTATGTCACAGCAGAGATATTAACTATATCACAGCAGAGATATAACTTATATCACTACAGATTTTACCTATGTCACAGCAGAGATATTAACTATATCACAGCAGATATTACCTATGTCACAGCAGAGATATTACCTATATCACTGCAGATATTACACCTATGTCACAGCAGGATATTACCTATAT